AAATTTTAACGCGTCTTAGGGCCGTAGTGCGGTAGTGACACTTTTCCGGACATGGGTCCCTATACTCAAATGTTTTCTACTGTTGCACTGAATAACCCCTAGAAGTTTGATCCCATAGTTCTGAAACACCCTGTATACACACACACACATGTACGTGAGTTGTTTGATAAGTTTGATAAATTTTTATGATATTGTGCCACAATTCATTTAATTACATGACGCCTGGAAAGTTCCACTCCTCAAATCCCTCCGGGCCAAATTTCAGTCTGAAGTGGTGCGTTGTTCGAAGCAAGCGATTTAGCGGTTTTGTCGTAAAATTGAAAAAAATTTTTTTCCAACGTCGTAAAACTAAAAAAATAGCAAAATTACACGAATTAAGCTTCGAATTGATTTCTCATCCATTCTATTCTCCGGATTTTTACGTCGTGCGCGGCTTCTTTCCGTTCCCAAATTTGAAAATCTCTAGCTTGGTAGGAAGAAATTCTCGTCGAATGGAGAAAGTTATCGTCAATTCTCTTTTCCGACGGTATTAAAAAAATTGGAAACTCGCTGAACCAAGTCTATCCTCCTCGAGGTTATCACTTGCTTTGTTTAGCACAAACTTATCAAACAACACACATATTACGCCGTACACACAAGTTACACGTTAAAAAAATAAATTAAATAAATTAAATAATAATTCGACACGTGCTATATAATTTAACGTGTATTGCAATATAAATTTGTTTTAGATTGTAAACTAACATTAAATCGGTTAATAAGAGCCAGCGCTGGATGTTTGTGCGAAATGAATATATAAATATATATGTATATATGTATTTTTTTTCAGTGTAAATTATATACATAAATTTTTAAATTGAAATTTCAATCCGTAAGTTCATAGAATGCTGGATTTGCATCACGTATGTGAGAAATGCCCGTTTTTTACCTCTCTATCTAATTTAGGACCGGTTGTTCCACCTTTAGATAAAGCATTAGGTAATCTACAGCGACTTACAAAAGTATTTGAACACTTACTATAGAAAACTTTTACTAATATGATATATGTGTTATATATGAAACTTTTTGAAATACCATTTACACACTGTAAGTAGATACAACTATCACGATTAGATATGTAAAGTTTTAAACAAATCCGAAAATATATGTGAGAGTTATGAAATATTTATTTTAAACATACATTTTGCGAAGATCGCAAAAGTATTTGAACAGACAGAAATTTGTTCGAAAAAAACGCGTAAACAAAAGATTTCGACCGCCGAATATAAACAATTACGTAGCTAGTCGTCCTACATATCACACGGGAGCAATATTAGTCAGAGTTTAGTCATTCTGAATGATAAGAATGAAAATATGTGTCCCAAAAAAAGTCAGAAATTTCAGAAAACGAAGGGATATTAATTGTTAAATTGCGTAACCAAAGAAAGTCTCACGGAGAAATTGCAAAATTATTAAATAACATATAAACATTAAACAACAAACATTAACATTAACATTTAATAACATATAATAATAATAATTATTATTTTTTAATTATTATCTTGATACTTGTGTCTACTTATAGTGCAAATAATATTTTAAAAAATTTCATACAACACACATATCATATTAATAAAAATTTTCTATAGTAAGTGTTCAAATACTTTTGTATGAGTCGCTGTATATAATAGTTAAAACTCTGATTTGCGTTGTTCCACGTGTTAGTAAAATTTATATATCTGGTAAATGACCAGAAAAACTACAAGATAAATTACACGGCACTGTTATTACTATGAAAGTCTCGTGTCTACAACAGATAAGTATAGAAATTGTATAGAAATTGTATAGAAATTGTATAGAAATAAAAAACAGTGGAAGATGCGCTAGTCAGGTTCCTATTCTATAGATAATAACCTGTCGATAAAGCTACGATTTATCAAAATATTATAATATAATATAATATTGCGAAAAAAAACACCTCGGCCAGGAGTCGAATCTGGAATTTCTCGCTTTCGAGTGCGATTATGATTGACCGGTTTAATGTTAGTTTAGAAATTTCAAGAGCCTTATTTCTTTGCTTATTAAAAACGTTTATATAATATATAAAAATAACGCAAAACAAAAAAAGAAAACCTATACTTATAATTGTTGGTTACCTCCAAAGTGATTTGTCGGACGAATTAAGGTAAGGATTGCGTAGAGCAGCAATCCCAATTGATGCGCGAGACTTTGAGAGAGGATGGCAACTGTCAGCACATCGATCTTCCTCTTCACGGACGATGATTGATTCTGATAGATCAACAGAGACCACGACAGCAGCAGGATGCATATCGGCGAACCTACGCACGTTGCAAGCCATTCGCCCACCTCGCCTCGCATCTCTGTGTGGGAAGAATAAAAAAAGACCGTCCACGGATTAATCACAATCAATGATTAATATTACATGCTAATTAATGAAAAAAATCATAACAATTAGTGATAAATCGAGATTACTCTCAGGCTCTATAAGTCTTATTAAACTTAATAATATATGAATATAGGGACACACACACACATGAAGAGCCGTTCGCAAGATGTTATGCGTGAATGCGCTTTTTTTTTTTTTAAATGTATATATATATGTATACACATATATACTTCTCCGAAATAATTTTTTTCCTCCATATAAGATGCTGCATCACATATATATGAAAAGAATATACTCCCCTAAAAGAGTATACCCCCCTAACTAATTTTAAAAAATTATTTTGAAGTATATATGTGTATACATATATATATATATTTAAAAAAAAAGTACATTCACGCACAACATCCTGCGAACAGCTCTTCACGTCCCTATATTCATATATTATTAGTTTAAAATAAATCATATTTTACACACACAACGTTGTTGATTGTTTGATATCGCATTGGAACAAAGATCGCATTATCGTACGTTCTCCTTTTTCGAGAGAACGTGCTCATTTAAATAAATTATAGTTAATCCTCTCTCTTTCTTTTCTCTCTCTCGCGACAAGGTAATATATATCGCTCTTAATATATGCGCAAAGATCAACGAAGATAAAAGAGACAATTCGCATTCGGAATTTCTCCCGCGATCGTTCTCCATCGTTAGAACAAGACGGGACAGAGTTCCCAGTGAGAGTGGTAGATATCCTCTAATCTCGATGAAAGCCCGTGTCGCGTGGCAATTAGCGCACCGCGTCGAATTATATATCCGCGCACCGGGGAAGAGCGAGCGAATTATTGTTGTTAATCAACAGCAGTGACGGTTACATGTAACTTATTAACGCGGTAAAAAGAAGGAAGCGCGCGATGTGTACAAATGTCACACACAGAGGTGGGGAAGGCGGCGGCGGCGGCGCGAGAGAATGCGACACGTTTTCCACACAAAGTATCTCCTTTCTCTATCCTCATTCCTTCGCGGCTCTCTCTTTTTCTTCGTATACGATTATTTTAAACAAAACACTGAGATTTTAGAGAGAGAGCCTGATACAAAGATACATTGTGGTCAAATCTAAAATAAAATTCATAAAATCTATAAAATATATATGAAATTTAATTAGCCATTGAAAGAAAATTAATCTTTTCTTATTAAGACGATTTGATACGCAAAAAAATATAACGTGGTTTTTTTCTTCCTAAACACCGAGGTTTGCATACAATTTTTTTGTTCAAATGATATGCTAATTTATTAATAATTTATTAATTTATTAATTTATTAATTTATTAATTTATTAATAAACTATTGATTTTAAACTTAAATTATTCTAAATTATTCTGTAATTATGTGGCGAGGAAGGTTATCTATTAGGAGAAGTAAACTGAACTAAAACTGCTGTGAGTTTTGACCAACATTTGTGCAACAAACATACGCTCTGTGTACTTGAATGATTATTATCCTTAAAAACAAATAAAACAACAAATAAATCTGTTTTTCCACTCTTTTATTATCTTTTAGTTTCTCTTTCGCGAAATCAAGTCCGGGCATGTTTTCCATCCCTCTTCTCGCCCGATGCTTCTCTCATACTGTGCACCGCAAAGGCAACTTTCTATTCCGCGCAATGTTGCGGCGTTGCGGTCTAATTTATCGTTTCAAGTCAACTCGCGCTCGGCACAACGCGCGAATTTCCCTCCCCTGTCTGGATCTCAAAGAAGAATGATCTCCTCTTTCGTCGTCGATACTCCGGATTGTTTTCCATCATCGGAGTAACACGTAGTAAGACGCGAACGTAGGAAGGCACATCTCCGATCGCGCGCGTAACGATGAGCTAATTTATCATTTAACCAGCTTTCGAACGATTGAGTTTTCGTAACTCTTTCGTAAAAATGCACGTGTTATTTCATAAATATCACCAAAAAAAACTTTGCGCCGGTTACACATCAGAAGTAGTACACGCAATATATAAATAAAAGTATATATAGAGTATATATAGCATATATAGTATATATAGTATATATAGCATATATAGCATATATAGCATATATAGCATATATAGCATATATAGTATATAAAGTATATATAGTATATATAGTATATATAGCATATATAGTATATATAGCATATATAGTATATATAGCATATATAGTATATATAGCATATATAGTATATATAGCATATATAGCATATATAGCATATATAGTATGTATAGTATGTATAGTATATATAGTATATATAGCATATATAGCATATATAGCATATATAGCATATATAGCATATATAGCATATATAGCATATATAGCATATATAGTAAATATAGTATATATAGTATATATAATATATATAGTACATATAGTATATATAGTATATAAGTACACATTACACATGGTATATAAATAAAAAATAATTAATTACGCGTTCTATAAATATAATAACGAGTCGTGTGATAAAATTAAATTATTGTGTTATATTTCTCTTACGTTGCCACTTTATATCTAAAAAGAGAGGGCGTGTATATAAGCGAGAAATATACCGTTGGTTTCTCATAAAACATATTCGTGAAACGCTACGAGTGAGAAGCTACGTTACGGTATATACGAGGTATTATACTTTCACGCGAATGCTTATCAAAAACACATCAAAATTTTATACTCGAGAAACGGCAACTATAAATTGCAACGTTTTTTTTATTCGCGCGTATTTTCTGAATAACTTATGTGCGGAGTCGCGTGCCCGCGCTTCCTTTTTTCCAATACACGGCGCACGCACTTTCACGAATGCGAATAAAAAACGCGCTCGCATTCCGCTCGGTGTTTTTCATATTATAATTTTTCTTCTCTCCGTCCGATAAGTAGAAAATTTCCTCTGCGCAAATTGGATAATCAACGACGGCGTTAACCATCGTGCGAAAACGATCCGTGATGCGGGAACGGTCGAATATATATATTCCGTCACTCGAATTTCAACCGCAGAGCGAGTTAACAACGAAATAGTATCGGACTCGATAGACGACAATAATCGCGTTCGCGCTATTACGCAATCATCTCGATCCCGAGTTTAAACTTGATGTGAATGTTCCTGTTCCGATCTCTCTAAATATCGAGATCGTTTTAGTTATTATTACACGTACGGAGTCTTGAAATTAATATGGGAAGATAGTTGATTGACTTTCTCAATCTTTTTTTTTAAAAGTTTGAAGAAAGATCAAAAATAATCACGTATTAAAATTTTTTAGCATTGATATTTTAATTCTAAATAATAATAATAATTAGAATAAAGGTCTCTGTCGAGCAACAAGTAGATCTTATGATTTTATTAATATAAATAAATAATAATAATATAAATAATAATATAAATAATATAATAATATAATTAAATTTTATTAATATATAAATTCACATAAAGTAATGTGTGTAAATGACATATAGTTTAGACGTTTCGGCCCTTACTTGAGCCCTCTTCAGTATAAAAGAATAGAAAACAACGCCATGTCGCAAAGAAGATAACAATATGATGTAAAAAAGTACACAAATCTTACGTACGGCAGTCCATTTTGATGTAATATCAGTAAGACTTCCTTGAAAAAGTCAATGTAAGTCAATGTAAGTCAAAGTCCGCACAATTTCACAATAACAATATAAAAAACGTAACGATATAAACTCACAAATCAGAAGTCGAAGATCTACTTGTTGCTTGATATCACTTTATTCTAATTATTATTATTTATTGTTAATTTTACGAGCAAGATTTTTGTATTATATTATATTATTTTAACAATTAAATCTTATTGAAGCTCGATAAGTTACTAAACTAATAAGTTACTAAACTATATTATTTTAATTCTATTTTTTAAATTTATGTTTGTTATACGAATAAAAAAACGTTTCTATACAAATAATATAACATTTACACTTGACTGTGTTAAAAATAAACCGATTGCGCAATTAGGAAAAAGCCTCAAAATAGACTCGCCGTTTGTTTTTGCGACCTATCTTAGGTTACCCTAAGAAAGTTCGCATCGAAGTACGGCGATCTTTGTGCGAAAGAAGACAAGATCGAACGGAATTTCCTCTGTCGTATTTTACGGAGCCACAGCTCGCTGTAAAAGTCGACCTTCCTTTGTTCTTCAAACGTTTGATAAAATTAGAAACGTGGGTGATTTACTCGATTTCGTCGGTCGCAATCTCGTTATCTCTTCGGAAGTGTCTGAACTTCCTTCATGAATAAGACTACACGCTCAACGCATTAGCGAGAAATCGGTTTGTGCGTTTCTTCGCGACGATAGCAAATTTGTTTCGCTTTTAAATCGTCGTCTTCTTTTGTGTTCCGCGGACTCGACGAGAGAAAAAAAAAACGGCAATTTAATTCCAAAAAGATATAATGGACAACGAGACGCAAGAGCATTATTTTCTTCTCTCCTTTGTGTTGTGAATTCGTATTATTTCGTATAAAAAAAACTGAGCTAAATTAAGTTACATAAAATTGCATAGAGAAGAAAAACAGACCGCTTCCGAGTTGAAGTTTCGCATTAAAAAAAGAAGAGAGACGCACAAATTGCAATAATTTCATACGTAATCCATTCGAGTTCTCTAACGAGATATCTTTATGACTTTTGAGCGCGATTTCACAGACGTGCTCTCGCTTCATAAAAGAGTTCTAATCGTTCTCCTTCTTCTTGAAGAATTATTATACCTCGTTTGGGGCGTATAGAAAAACGACTGGTTCGCGTCTTCGGCGATTTCACGCGGTGTGTTTTGCGCAACTTCAGGTTAAAGGTGGATTTAATGTGCATTAAGATGCGCGTTTCGCTCTCACATGTGTGTACATGTACGTGAGAGTCTTCTCAAGGACTGACTTGTGTGTCAGCGGGAGGCGTATCTCGGTCGATTAGACTGGAATGCCGAGAGAGGTGTAGAAAGAAGCGATCAAGGTCAGAAACAA